TGAGAGACTGCAGAGCAAAACTGTGGTCAGAAAACCGCTTCCTCTGGTGTCTATGTATCTGCTGTGGTCCCATTTGCAGGAAACTTGCACTAAGACTACACTCCCTCCAAAGACAATCTTTCAGGAATCACTAATAACTTTTTTTTAACTTCGCTTGGACATTCAGGAAGAGTTTTACTAACAAAATGCTTTTCTGTTGCTTAGTGAGGATCAATAGTGCTTACAAGAGGAACTGTTTATTTATTGGCAATTTACTCCCTGATTCTCCAATCCAACCCATCTATAGGAAGACAATCTCCTTACAGCACTAATGACTTGCAGTAAAGTATATACATATGTTTAATACAAATAAGGGTAAATGATTTCCCAGCCCTGGTTAGACAAAATAGAGCTCACAGGGGCTTATTGCCCTTAAAAAGAGTGACTTGTAGCCTGCTTCCATTAGAAGGATAACCTGTTAGGATGGAGATATTCTGACAACCTCACCTACAAAAATTGTGTGTTCTAAAATGCACATTTTTTACCATATACATGCTCCTTTCCATCAGTAATTGTATTTGCTGCAGTGGATGGGGACTTTAGCATGTCAAATGTAAATTAGGCTTAACAAAAAGTATTTCCCAGAGCTTTGAAATCTTGGTGCTCAAAACCACAGCAGAAACATGAATTCACATCAGAATGTCAAAATCTTCTTGCTAATATCTTCAGCATCACACTTCAGCCTTATAATAAAGAAGTTATCTTGAAGGGATCACAACAATCTTAAACTAAAATCTATATATAAATTACAGCATACAGGCATTCAATGGTCTTTGTTTTTATAACCTTGTAGCACAGTACTCTAACTTAAAGATATAATTAGGTGCATTGTGTTAGAAAGCTATAAATATAAAAGCAGACTACCACAGAGTTGTTAAAGAAAAGTGTTGTTTGGTACCACTTTGCTCCTAATGACAAGCTGCAAGCAAAAACACAAGCAGCATAACCACCGTCTCCTGCCTGTGGACATGATGCTGTTGGTTTCTTCTCTCCCAATCCCTGGAGGATAAATGCATTTTCTTACCCACCGATGGAAAGTTACCTTATTTCTTAAACATTTTTTTGCCTGTACAAACAGAGTGACTCAGCAGTCACAAGAAACAACAAATATCCTTCCCTCCTCTGCAAACTTTGTTCCCCCTTTAATGGCCAAGTATAATACCCATAAATTTACTGCTTGGCTGACGTTTTGCTGTGTTTTCCTCCTCATTGTGGCACACAGGAGCCCTGGCCACAAGTGTGTCTGCGCTGAGTCTCAATTGTGGTTACCCTCCCAGTCGCACACTTCCCAGTAGGGAACGCTGCTCCCATGATGAGGAGTGAGGGGCTGGTGCACATACAGGGGAGCAACCAAAGGAGCAGTGGGGTGGGAAGGGTTCCCCCAGGCTGCATTTCCATTTTTCTTCCCTTTTCTGTTAGACCACTCTCAAGGTCATCCAGTTTCTCTTATTCTGCACTACTGATGACTTTCTACTCCATGTCGTTAGCATATTCCTACTTTTTGTGCCAAGGACCATAATGAAAAGTATTAAATATGGCCAGTCCCAGAACATACATCATCCTGTGATGATGCCTCGACAGGAATCTTCTAAAATGACTTTGTTTTCTCTGACGGCCTTACTAGCCCCAAGTGCTCCCCACTCCAGGACATGGGTGATGTTTCACAGGTGAGCTGTGATGAAGCAGGATCCAGAGCAGGTTTGCATGATCTCCACCTGGATTTTCCTGCTTCTGTCACGAGCACCCGGGTCATTCCAAGAAGCAGCATCCTTTCTCCCTTTCCATCTATCTTTGCTCCTACTTCTATCACAAAATCTGTGGAAAGAGGTGCCCTGAACCGTCCCTGCCTCGGCTCTGATTCCTATTTTGACACGGGAATTGGCATTTTATTTTGGAATAATGCATGGCATAGTGGGGGACACTTGCCTACACTATACATCTGTCTTCCCATTAGTCCTTTGTGTGGAAGAGACAGCACATGCACTTATATCCCATAAGCCTCAAAGGCAGATGATTCTTGTCCATGGTTTGTGTTCATGTAGCACACATCCTGCACAGATGCTGTAATGTGTGTATATATATGACAAAAAGAGAAGTAATAAAAGGTTAAACAGGGCTTGAATGAAGTTAACCCTAATGTAGTACTTAATACCGGATAATGTAAAATAATGTTACAGAATGTATGTGGCTGAATGAATCAGTGTCAGAGGAAAGTGGTGTTACTGATCTCAGTTTTGTCTCAATGTCATCTCATAAAGAAGGTTACTTGTGTCAGGGGCAAAGCACTTGTTCATTTTGATAGGTGGAAATGAATCACCCTCCCAATGTGGAAACATATCTAAATACAATCATAAAATGGTGCCTGTACCATTAAGAAGAGTCCAGCAAAAACATATTATCGATTCACAGCCAAAGGTAGGAGGAATTTCTGTTTTGCTGCAACGGTGTCGCTGAGGCAGGGACAGGCTGGGCGCTCGGGCCCAAGTTTCCCTGTTCCATGTGCTAGGAGAGACCGACGGCGTCAACGCGGAGCCGGCGGCTCCCCGGGCGCTGCGGAGCGCGGCCGGGCGCAGGGGCGGCCCCGACGGTCACCGGGCCGGGCCGAGCGCGGCCGCCAGGGGGCGCCGCCAGCGCGACCCGACGGCGCTGAGCGAGGCGGGGGTGGCGGGTGCTGCCCGTTAACCCGGTGCCTGTTTCCCTGCACCGAAATCAACCCACGCCGGTACCGATTCCAGTGCTCGGCTTCGCTCTCCCGGACGAGCGCCCTCACAAGACGCAGGACCCGCTGCCATCAGAAACGGCTCCTCTCGTTCCGTCCCGCTCGCGCAGCTCCGCCGCGGCCGCCGGGCTCTGATCCTCTCTCCCGTGCCGGATGCAGCGGGGCCCGGGGCGCTTGGACAAGGCCGGGACGTGTCCGCCCCTGCCCCTCCCCCCACCCCTTCTCCGTGGCTTCTGCTGCCTCCTGCTTCATCCAAAGGCCAGAAGACACCAAACGACGCAAAAGTCGCTTTATCACGGCACAGAGTCTGCAGCTATATACGCCATGTGTATATATATTTATGTATATTTATACACCATGTGTATATATATACATATCTACGTTCTGTACACACACACACATATGTTTTCCTACCTAGAAAACTGGGAAACCTGGGGCAGGAGATTGCGGACAGGCGAGCGCACAGGGTAGATGTACAAGGAACGTGTAACAAATGACGCCGGTGGCAGATACAAATCACGGGCGCCGCCGCAGCGCCAGCGCGGGGAGCGGGGCGCGGAGCAGCGGCCAGGGCGACCCGCGCGGCAGCCCGGCCCGTCGGGGCGCGACGCCGGCCGCGGGGCGCAGAGCCGCCCCCTCACCTGCGGGGCGGCCGTCGGGGCGCGGGGCGCCGGCTCTGCCTGCGGCTGAAGCAGAGTCCCGGGGATGGATTCTACGTTATTCCCTCGCTGCGACGCGGCCTAAGGGCAGGAAAAGCCGCGGCTGGGAGTCACCGCGAGGGCGCTGGGCGCGGTGGGACGGGGTGGCCCCGGAGCGGACCCGGGGCGACTTTTAGCGGCGAAACGGCGGGAGTCGCTCTCTCCTCGAGTACCCGGCGCTGCGCGGAGAGAACGGGGCTTTATGGGGACAGGCTGATGGAGCCTTCTGTTGCGTTCTTAGTTTATATTGCTTTTATCCTTACAGTAAGATGGGAAAATAATTAACTTTTAAAAATCTTCTTTAGGGCATGTTGTTTTTAATCACGTGTTTATATGGTAAAATCTCGTATTTGTACGGTAAACTATGTCCGAGGATGCATACAAGACATTGTCATTTCTAGTTTCCGCAGTTGAAAATAAAGATCAGTTATCGAACACACGAATATAGTTCCCAAGCTTACTTTATTATTAAATTTCAATTTAAATCAAACCTTTTGGGCTTACTAAAGGTTAAGAATACACAAATACAGCTAGAGAAGTATGCGTTTTTATAATAATTATTATTGCACTATAAAGTCAAACATCGTGAAAAGTTTTAATTATAGGTTTGTTGTAGTTAGTATTTACTTGATTCGTAGTGCACCGAGACACACAAGAGAAGGCGTTTGTAAGCCAAAAAGCCCAATATAATTTCGGACATTACTTTCTGTAAAATCGCAAACACAATTTTGTTTTTAATTAGTTAGTTTTTCGATTAAGAAGAATACCTACGGTAATTTTATCTGTGCAAACGCGCTTCACTGTGCAATGATGCCTGATGCAACGATGGCTCAGTTTCTCCTTTCGCAGAGAGTGGGTTGCATCTGACCATCACCTCGCTAAAGGAGACCTCGCTGATGCAGAGTCTATTTGAAACTTAGCCGCAAAACTGGAGCAAAACAGAACAGGAGACTGCTTTTTATGAAGGTATTTTAAGGATTCGAATCTTGCATGCTGGGAGCAATTAGCATGTAAGCAAACACAGAGTTAATTAACCGTTAACTGGAACAGGGGAGAAGGGCCGTGGGTCGCTCGGGAGCGCGCAGCGCCGCGGGGCCGTTGCCCGTCCGCGCGCCCCTGCTCTCCCAGGGCCGGGCGAGGAACCGGGGGCGGCGAGGGCCCGTGAGCCGCGGTCGGGATCCCGCGGGCCCCGCGCGGGGAACCCGTCGTGACGCGCGCTCACGTGCGGGCCCCGCGCTCCGCTCCCACGGCGCCCGC